CCTTGAGATCATGACCTGAGCTGAAATCAAGAGTTGGATGCTTAACCAACTGAGCCACCCAGGCACCCATGGGTCTGTTTCTCTTTTGGTCCTATTTCCTGGTATGCTTCATAAGTTTTGATGAGATGCTGGGGATTGTATATGAAAAACAGTAGATGCTGTGGATGAAATTACTTCTTCCAGAGAGGATTCACCATATCTTCTGGCAAATAGCTAGAGCAGGGACACCTCAGTCCAGTCAAGACTGATCTTTTTCATGGCTGGGCTTCAGATGTTATAAAGTTGGCTCTGCCTGTAGCTCACCTCAGCTTCTAGGTGTAGGCTTTTAGGGATCACAATGAGAGCCTGAAGTGTTTTTAGAGGCCTGCTTCCTGAGGTCCTTAGGTCGTTTTGTTTTTCTAGTGTTGTGAGGCTGATGAATGCTCTGCTGTACTTTTCTTAAAGATTTTATTTATTTATTTGAGAGAGAGAGAGCACAAGCAGGGGGAGGGGCAGGCAGAGGGAGAGGGAGAAGCAGGCTCCCGAGTGAGCAGGGAGCCGAAGGCAGGCAGGTAACCGACTGAGCCACCCAGGGGCCCCTCTGCTGCACTTTTCACCTGCATGTTTTTTCCCCTTTAGTTTCTCACCTGACACAACGTAAAAATTAGTAAATACCTGAGAAGACAACTAGCCTAGGTCACTTTCCTACATGTCCCTTCTCCCAGAATCTTTGCTCCTTGGGTCTTAGTTGCCTTAGAAGCTCTTCAGTGACTTCAAATCGATGTTGCATGCATTTATTCAGCCTTTCTTCTTTTTAGTGGCAGAGCATTACAAGCTAAGGTGTCAGAGCTAGAAACAGAAGTATGCAACAAGTTATTTTTGAACCCAAATTCTAGATGTTTGCCTTGATGGTATTTTGTTTTTTGTTTATTAATTTATTTGAGACCAGGAAAAAAGTATGTAGTACATTTAATAATCACTTTTGTTGAGAAGAGCTTTGTAACATGTAGCTGGGGTTGTCATGAACAATTGTCACAACACTCAGAAAATACTGAGTGGGGAAAATACTCCCCACCCCCCAAAATTAGTTGCTATTCTACCTTGTAAAACAATTGGTCTCAGTGAAATTGAATTCCAGGATATCATTATCTGGAGCCTACCTATATCTAGGTCAATTTTTTAAAAAAAGTTAGTGTTACTTTTTCACTTTGACAGACATGATCCACCCCATAGCGTCTCCACATGCTATCTAATAACACTGATCACCAACAAACTATCAACGATGAAAATAATGCTGCATCTTGTTCTCCCACTTTCCATGCAAAAGGCGTTCTCTCTCTAGGTTACAAATCTTTGGGCTCACATGTCTTCGCACTTAAGAGTGGGGCACCCCTATGGCAGGAAGTGACAGGGGACCCTTCTCTCTGTCTATATGGCACAGTTGAGCTTCCTTTGAAATCTGTTATCCTGACTTGGATTTGAATCCCCATGTGTGCCGACGTCTGTTGCCTGTCTGCTCGGCGTCTCACCGGCGCCCTGCACTGGCTTTAGGCAGCAGCTACAAGCCCGGCCCGGCATTCTGCTCCCGGGTCCCCAGGCCCACTCTACCAGGAGCTCCACAGGCTCGTTCGCCGGGCTCCAAGCACTCCCCCTGCTTGGCATTTATCATGCCTTGTACTTTCAAGTTGGAAATAAAAGTGTCAGCCCTGTTTTACTATTTAAAATTGATGTATATTAAATATGAATTCTTATTGTAAGACATGTTTAGACATGTCAACATAAAACAGTGGAAGTGCTTTATTTTTTATACATAACTGAGTCTTTTCCTGAGGAAAAAGACTTTGTGTGTATGTGTGTGTGTGTGTGTGTGTGTAAGTAAGCCCTACAGCCAGTGGGGCTTGAACCCACAACCCTGAGATCGAGGGTTGCCATGTTCTACCAAGTGAGCCAGCCAGGCACCCCCCAAAATGCATTTTTTGTAGCTGTTCTTTGTAGGCAAAAATACCAAATTTGAGATAAAATTAACTATTGAGTTTAAACCTATCAGAGGTCTCCTCTAGCTGTCACTAGTTTTTGGTGATCTGGGGCTTGTTTTGATAGCTAATCAAAAGCCAGATCAAAACAAAGAAAACCAAAATAGTTACCCTGTCCTTCAGTCTGCTGTGAACCCACGTTACTGTACCTTTATACCAGTGTCCGACTTGGAATGACATTCCACAGGATTCACACTCAAATGTTTGAAGTCACAGTCATGAATTACGTAGGAAATATTAATGGTTCATGGATTGATAGCTCTTTTATTCTACCAAGTTACAATGGGTCTTAGAAGGTCATTTTTACTGCTTGTTAAAATTCACAATCTGTAATTATACCGTTGTCCCATTAGGTAGAGAGCAAAGGCTTTCCTTATTCAGACTGAATCTCCCATGGCCTGTACAGCCCTGGGCATAGGGGGGCACTCAGTGTTGGAGAACCAACAGTCTGCCTCTTCTTTCTTTTTCAAAGTGTCCATTTATGTATTGTCTGTGGCTGTTTTTTGTGCCACAACAGAGTCTGAGTGTTGTGACAGATGCAACTAGCTGACTAAATGGAATGTCTACTTTTTGTAAAATTTGTGAACCCTTGTTTTAAGTCCTAGTAATCAGGAAAACACCTCATGGCCAAGTATACTTCTGGACATTTTCATTCTTTGGATTAAGGTTTCTCTTTATCAAAGAATTATTTTTTCATATAGTTTAGTATTTGCCTGTTCCACTTATTCTAGTGTGGGTCTCCTCATAGGTACTCTCATTTTGTTTATTTGAAAGTAACTTTCTTTTTTTTTTTTTTTCCTTAAAGGATACTTTCGCTAAGTACAGTATTCAAATGTGGCTATTTTTTTCAGTACTTTGAATATATACATGTTACCTTCAGCTTCCATTATTTTTGTTAAGAAGTCATCCAGAAGTTGAATTGTTGCTCCTTTAAAGATCATATGCTCCTCCCTGCCTCGCCGCGGCTGTGCCTTACCTCTGCTTTAGTTTTCAGCTATTTACCATAATGTGCCTAGACATGGTTTTCTTTCTTTTTAAAGATTTTATTTATTTGACAGATGGAGACATAGTGAGAGAGGAAACACAAGCAGGGGGAGTGGGAGAGGGAGAAGCAGGCTTCCCATGAAGTAGGGAGCCTGATGCGGGGCTCGATCCCAGGACCCTGGGATCATGACCTGAGCCGAAGGCAGACGCTTAACGGCTGAGCCACCCAGGCGCCCCAAGATGTGGTTTTCTTTGGTATATTCTGCATGGGGTTAGTGGTGCTTTCAAATCTGTTGTTTGATGTCATTAGTTCTGGAAACGTTTTAGCTAATATTTTTACACATACTATTAGCTTTTTCTTCTCTCCTTCTAGAGAATTATATGCCATTTTTCTTTACTTTTCAGTTGTATCTAATCTGTTAAAGCCACTTACCAAGTTTGTAATTTCTCTTATTATGCCTTTCAGTTCCAGCTTTTCCATTTTAATTCTGTCGGGGCGGGGGGCGGGGGGAGAGAGAGAGGGCACGAGATCACCAGCAGGGGAAGCAGCAAAGGGAAAGGGAGAAGCAGGCTCCCCACCGAGCAGGGAGCCTGGTGCGGGACTTGATCCCAGGACCGTGGGATCATGACCTGAGCCAAAGGCAGACGCTTAACTGAGCCACCCAGGTATCCCGAGCTTTTCCATTTTAAATTGAATTTCTAGTTTTTGGCCAGAATTCTCAATTTTTAAATTTCCTTGACCATGTTAAAGATAGTTATTACAAAATCCGTTTCTGATACCTCCCTTATTTGGATCTTGTATGTTCCTTTCTATTATCTGTATTTTTCGGTTTTCAATTATGTTTTGTTTCCTTATATACCTGGTTATTTTTTATGCCCTCGTTTTTACATGTCAAAAATTATAATAAAAGGGGCGCCTGGGTGGCTCAGTCATTAAGCGTCTGCCTTCAGCTCAGGTCATGATCTCAGGGTGCTGGGATCGAGTCCCACATCGGGCTCCCTGCTCAGCTGGGAGCCCGCTTCTCCATCTCCCACTCCCCCTGCTTAATAACAGGAGCAATTAAGATACACTGTGCTTTCTATCCCCTATCTCTGTCAAATAAATAATATCTTTAAAAAGTTTTTAAAAATTATAATAAAAATGTGTGGACCAATATGACATTATCTTCTTCCAGAGAGGATTTGTGTTTTTGGTAGGCAGCTAAGGGTACCAGCAATCCTGGATTACATTAGTGAATTATAATTCAGATGATTTAAAACTGGCCTTCAGTCTGTTTGTGGGAGGAAGTTTCTGGTTAGTCATTATTTCTAGGCCAACTCAAAGCCTTGGGTTATTCAAGCACCATCTACTTGATCCTTCTGGATACTGGTTTTATTTCCCACTAGCACTGTGTGGTTTAAAAAAAAAAAAAATCAGTGCTCAATTTCTCAGGCCCTTAGCCACCTTTCTGGAATCTACACATATTCTTAGGGAACAAATTGTCTCAGATGCCAGATTCCTTTTCGGATTTATGTTTTCTTCTGGCTGTTGGTGCAGTATTTCCTCAATGACTTAATTCCTCAGTATTTCTGGGCCTTCCAGGACCTGTATTTCTTAGTCCAGCATTTGTAAAATTAGATGTTGCACTCTGTAATGGATGCTGGGATGTACCACCTAGAATCCCTTTCATGAATAAGCAGCTCTTTCCAGAGGTGCTAGCTACTGACCGCTTCCAGTGAAATTTTTCTCTGGAAATGGCTTTCAGCTTATGGCAGCTGCCTTGCCTGGGGAGACTGCTTATTCCCGGCAGACAGCTTGAACCAAATGATGAGGTGGGGGTGCCTTAATTCCAGACTTCTATGGAGGGTCATTTCAGCTTTAGAGCTAAAGATCTGAAAGGGACATCTGTTGAAACTTCCTAATGGTTCAACTTTTCCCTCTGCCCAGTTCTGCATCCCTGATTTCCTTACAGGTTTTCGGAGAGTACTTCCCAATTAATCTACTGCAGAGTTCCAGGAAACCAAATTTATGAGTCTGTTTAATTTGCTTTTAATATAACCATCATGTATCATTTCTTTTTTGTTATATTTAACTCCTTTTGGGGGAGAGAAGTTAGTGTTGGGAGAAGTAGAACATTTGGGAGAATTAATACACTTTGGCCATGACAGGAGCAATTAAGATACACTGTCTTTTGCCTCAGGGGGCAATCTTTACTTTGTGTTTCACATTCACTTTTTTTTTAATTGAGATAATTGACATATAACATTATATTGGTTTCAGTTACAGGACATTAAGATTAGATTTTTGTATATATTGTGAAATGCTCACAATTCTAATATCCATCCACATACATACTTACAAATTATTTTTTTGTGATGAGAACTTTTACAATTTACTCTTAGCAACTTTCAAATATACAGTATTATTAGCTTTAGTCACCATGCTGTATATTACATCCTCATGACTTATTTTATAACTGGAAGTTTGTACCTTTTGACTACCTTCACTCATTTCACCCATCCGTTCTCAGATTTATCTATGATATCTATGGGCTCAGATTTAAAAAAAAATTACACATATAAGCAAGATCATATGATATCATCTGACTTATTTCACTTAGCATAATTTATGCCCTCAAGGTCCATGTTTTTACATATGGCAAGATTTCCTTCCTTTTTATGGCTGAGTAATACTCCACTTTGTGTGTGTGTATACAAACACAAACACACTTTCTTTTCCATCGATGAACACTTAGGTTGTTTCCCTGTCTTGGCTATTATAAAGCTGCAATGAACATGTCAGTGTAGATATCTTTTTGAGTTACTGTTTTTGTTTCCTTTGGATAAATACCCAGAAGTAAAATTTCTGGATCTCATGGTAGTTCTATTTTTAATTTTTTGAGGATCCTCTATCCTGTTTTCCATAGTGGCTGCACCAATTTACATTCTCTTCAACAGTGCACAAGGGTCCCTTTTCTCTACTCTTGTAACACTTATTTCTTGTCTTTTTGATAATAACCATTCCAATGATTGTGTCATTGTGGTTTTGATTTGCATTTCCCTGATATTAGTGATGTTGGGCACCTTTTCACATACTTCTGGCCATCTGTATGTCGTTTTTAAAAAATGTCTATTCAAGTACTCTTCATTTTTAATCAGATTTTTTTTTCTTTTGGCTAGAGTTGTAGTTCTCTATATATTTTGGATATTAACCCCATATCAGATGATTTGCAAATATTTTCCCATCTGTAAATTGCATTTCGTCAGTTTCCTTCACTGTGCAGAAGCTTAATTTGATGCTATCAAACTTAGTTTTTGTTGCTATTGCCTTTGCTTTTGTCGTCAGATCTAGAAAATCATTGTCAAGACCAATGTCAAGATTATCACTGATGTTCTAGGAATTTTATGGCTTTAGGTCTTATGGTCAGCTCTTAATCTATTTTGAGTTGGTTTTTATATATGGTGTAAGATAGTGGTCTAGTTTCATTCTTTTCCATGTAGCCATCCAGTTTAACCAACACCATTTATTGGAGAGACTGTCCTTTATCCATTGTATATTCTTGGCAACTTTCCTTTGTTGTAGGTTGACAATGTATGGATGGGTTTATTTCTGGGCTATTCTGTTCACTTGATCTGTGTCTGTTTTTATGCCAATACCGTATTATTTTGGCTACTGTAGCTTTTTTTTTTTTTTTAAAGATTTTATTTATTTAATCGAGAGAGAGAGACAGAGAGAGCACATGAGAGGGGGGAGGGTCGGGAGGGTCAGAGGGAGAAGCAGACTCCCTGCCGAGCAGGGAGCCCGATGCGGGACTTGATCCAGGGACTCCAGGATCATGACCTGAACCGAAGGCAGTCACTTAACCAACTGAGCCACCCAGACGCCCGGCTACTGTAGCTTTGTAACATAGCTTGAAATCAGAAAGCATGATGCCTCCATCTTTGTTGTTCTTTCTCAAGACTGCTTTGGCTAGGGGAGCCTGGCTGGCTCAGTTGGTGGAGTGTGTGACTCTTGAACTCTGGGTTGTGGGTTTGAGTCCCATGTGGTGTGTAGAGATTACTTGAAAATAAAATCTTAAAAAAAAAATACTGCATTGGCTATTTGAGGTTCTTTGGTGGTTCCACACCCATTTTAGGGTTATTTCTGTGAAAAACACCATTGGAATTTACATAGGGATTACACTGAATCTGTAGATTGCTTTGGGTAGTGTGGACATCCTAGCAATATTCTTCCATTCCAAGAGCATGGAGTATCTTTTCACCTATTTGTCTTCAATTTTTTTCATAAGTGTCTTATAGTTTCCCTTTTGGTTAAATTCCTATTTTGTTCTTTTTGATGCAAATGTAAATGGGATTAAGAAATTTCTCTGATAGTTCATTGTTAGTGTATAGAAATACAACAGATTTCTGCATATTGATTTTTGTACCCTGGAACTTTACTGAATTTTATTAGTTTTAACAGTTTTTTGGTGGAGTCTGCCTTGGATGCTTTCTCCTTTACCAAAGCCTAATTGCTCTGGTTAGGGCTTCCAATACTAGGTTGAATAAAAGTGAGGAGTGGGGTCCTTGTCTTGTTTCTGATCTTAGGAGGAAAAGCTTTCAATTTTTCACTGAGTATGCTGGCTGTACACTTGTGATACATCACCTTTATTATGTTGAGGTACATTCCTGCTAACCCTTTGTTTTGCGAACCCACTTTGTTTTTATAATGGATGTTCAAGCATCTAAGGTGACCTTATGATTTTTATCCTTTGTTAATGAGATGTATCATGATGGATTCCCAGGTATTGAACCATCCTTGCATCCCTGGAATAAATCCCACTTGCTTATGATATAGGATCCTTTTAATGTTGTTGAATTTGGTTAGTATTTTGTAGAAGGTTTTGCACCTAGGTTCATCAGGACACTGGCCTATAATTTTTTTGTGGTGTCCTTTTCTAGTTTAATACTAGGGTAATGCTGGCCTTACATAAAATGAGTCTGAAGTATTCCCTCCTCTTCGATTTTTTGAAGTGTGTGAGAAGGATTGGTTAGGCATTAGGTAGAATTCACCAGTGAAGCAGTCTCATCCTTAACTTTTGTTTGTTGGGAGGTTTTTGATGACTGACTCAATCTCCTTACTAGTAATTGGTCCCTTCAGATTTTCTAGTTCTTCGTGATTCAGATTTGCTGGTAGTGTATTTTTAGGAATTTTCCCTTTCCTCTAGATTGTCTGATTTGTTGTACTCTTAACTGTTCATAGTAGTAGTCTCTTATGATCCTTTGTATTTTGGTGGTCTACCAGTTTTAACAACTTATGTTTGATTTTGTGTCCTTTTTCCTTAGTTTTAAAACGTCAGTTTTCAAAAGAATAGTTCTTAGATCCATTTTAGTTTCTATTTCATGTATTTCCACTCTGGTCTTTATTTCCTTCCTTCTACTAACTTTGGGCTTTGTTCCTTCTTTGTAGTTTCTTGAGGTGTAAAAGGTTGAGCAGGCATTGAATGCAGTGAACTTCTTTTAGGACTGCTCTTGCTATATCCCATAAGTTTTGGTATGTTGTGTTTCCACTTGTTTCTAGGTATTTTTTCTTTTTCTTTTATTTGACCCATTGGCTGTTCAGTAGCATGTTATTTAATCTCCATATATTTGCAAATCTTCCAGTGTGCTTCATGTAATCTTCTAGTTTCATACCATTGTGGTCAGAAAAGATACCTGATACTTCGATTTTCTGAAATTTAGACTTTTTGTGGTACATGTGATCTATCCTGGAGAATTTCCCATGTGTGCTTGATAAAATTTCCCATGTGTGCTTGAGAAAAAGAAGTGCGTTCTGTTCCTTTCAGAAGGAATGTTCTGTATATGTCTGTAAAGGCCAATGTTTCCATATTGACTTTCTTTCTGAACAGTCTATTTATTGATGAAAGTGGGATATTAAGTTCTGCTGCTACTATTGTATTGCTGTTTCTCCCTTTAGGTCTGTTAACATTTGCTTTATTTAGGTGCTCCTATGATATTTATGAATGTTCTATCCTCTTGTTGGACTGACACCTTTATCATAATGTAATGTCTCTTTTTTCTTTGAATACCATGCTGGGGGAAAAGAGGCATCCCCCTTTTAATTTAGTTACTGAACTTTACGAGTAGCACTGAGAACATTTCTAAAGTCACGAACATTAACTGGAAAACAGTCAAGTCAGGAAAGAGCAATTCCATTCCTGGGGCACCTGCCCCTGTTTATGGCTACTGTGCAATCTTGGCCAAATCACAGCTTTTCTAGGCCTGGGTTTACCCATCTTTTAAGATCAGAGGATTTTCTTCTAAAATTCCACAAATTACTACCTACCTATTTTACAAACCTATAGGTTACCTATGACACATGGCCTATTTAAGGAATTATTTTTTAAAAACCTCTTTATTATCCTCTTCAAGAAATGTAGTAGGAGCCCTAAACACCACACACTGAAAAGGCAAACGCAAAGACCAGCCCTGCTTGTGCTGCCGCCATAGCTGCAGAGGAATGTCTGGCAGTAGGAAATAATGAAGTTTGTTTCAGTCACTACATGGCTGTAGCTACACATGGATGTTTCTAGGTCAGCTTTTTAAAAAACAGAAAATTTTATGCTCCACATTAAGACTCCATTGGTGTGTCTGAGCTTCTGCTCCCAAAAGGGCCACTAATAGATGAACTTCTCGTATTGCCAAGAACAAGCCTCTCTCGTCTTCCGAATGCTTCATTTACTACAACATAAATAGTTAAGAAATTACCAGATTAGATAGAGATGTAGAAATGAACAGTGTGGAAATTCTAGGAAAATAAATTTAACATTTTATAAATGGGAAATGAAATAAGTCCAAATTAACATTCTGAATGAGGTTAATCGTGTTTTAAATTAGTCTACCATTTAACTTTCTTCGCCTTGTCCTGGTTTTATTTAATCTACCTTGATAAAGTGACTTTTTTCTTTCATTAACCAGCAGAAAACTTGTTTTGGATTTAGAACCTCTGTTCTACATGGAAGATTCAGGAATCAGTGGAGCTACGTCTTCTGTGTTTATAGGACAAACCAGACTACCTCAAGGTAATAAATAAGCAGCCAGGTTCCCCTGAAGGGAGGGGGAAAGCTCGATTTTGAAGCAAGTAGCTGAGAAAAGGCAGGTTATTCACGCTGGGAAGGGGAGGACTGTTCTTAGAGACCACGTTATATTTCCTTCCAGCTTTCCCGTAAATTCAAATTTTGTCATAAATATTTTTTTTTATAAAGATTTATTTATTTGAGAGAGCAAGAATGAGAGAGAGTACATGAGAGGGGGGAGGGTCAGAGGGAGAAGCAGACTCCCCACTGAGCAGGTAGCCCGATGCGGGACTTGATCCCGGGACTCCAGGATCATGACCTGAGCTGAAGGCAGTTGCTTAACCAACTGAGCCACCCAGGCGCCCTGTCATAAATATTTTTAAAACGGTCTACATTTAAATTGTGAAGACAAATTTGTGAACATGAACATCTCCAAATTACATGTGATCTTGTCTATTTCCCTAAGCAGACTACATTACAGGATGAACACTGGATCTACCTCGTGTATTCAAGCCACACATTTTTCTCATTTAGAAAAAGGGAATTAAGATTCTTACCTGATGAGACTGTGCTTATATCCCAGACCCGAAGCCCTTCTTTCTGACCTCCAAAGGCATAAATAAACGGCAAATCAGGACAACAGGAAGAACAGAACAGAACTCCCTAGGAAGAAGAAAACAGATGGTCAGTTTTTTCAGTCCTTCCAGAAAGCCCCAATCTAAACCCCTGCTCCTGCCTACACAAACTTGAACCAACTCACCATTACCTCTTTTAAGCCTCTTGCAAAGTAGTTCAGAATCAAGGTGGCAGGACCATTACCAGAGACGAAGCCACACAAGTTCAGCACGATGGCCATTCCGTGAGGATGTGTGCACTCTGACTACTCAGGTCTCTAATCCGCTCAGTATTCCTAGAAACTTTTATTTTCCTTTTTAAGCAATGATGCTACTACAGGTCACCATTAAATGATTTTTTAAACTTGTAATTTTTTTGTTTATATTTTCTATAATGCATATGTATTAAACAGTGATTGTAAGATTTTTATATTTTTTCATGTTTTGGGATAGGATATTCTAAATTTAAATATAAATGTTTAAGCATTTTAATATAAGCTGGATATATAGTACTATATAATTGAGTCTGTAACTTACTTTCCCCATAAATATTTGTACACACAAACAGATGTGCAGTGTTCTACATATACAATTATACTAATTCAGTGCCTGGCATATAGTAGGTGCTCAATAAATATTTGCTAAATGAATTGTGGTTATTTCTAATTTTTTTTGCTACTACATAGTAATCCATTTCAGTGTAGTCAAAACTAGTTATGCAGAGGTAGTGACAGATAAACTGACCCTACCAGCTACAGTGCCCTAAAGGTCCAAGCTTTCCTGGGATGGTCCTCAATTCAGGGTTAAAAAAGCAAGCCCTGGCCATTCTGCTTAAGTCCTAGAAAATCCTCTTTCCACCCTTCTTCCTAAACAACTGTTAATCATGTCAGGTGGGAGAGGAACCAGATAGGACAGTTTTAGAGGAAATCAATGACTAAGTCACAAACCTCTCACCAAATGTGACTAAGCTCAAAAATTCCTAGGGAAAGATGACAATACAGGTCAGAAACAGAAAAAAGCAGAAAAGAAAGATGCCCAGAGAAATTCTTACCATTTTCATGTCCCTAGAGTGAACCAGACTTGGCCTGTCTCCCAGTATGTCCCAGATCTTCACATATTTGTCTGCTGATGCTGTCACAAGGCAGCCCTTGATCTGACTACTTAGATCAAGACCTAAAGGAAGAGGTTAGTTCAGACTCTGACATGCAGATTGACGTCATCATAAGTTAACAAAATGAAACACTGTGCTCACCAGAGATTTCATCGTTGTGTGCATTAAGTGTAAAAATTGGCTTATCTGAACGTGCATCCAAATTATATACAAAGCCGTCATCTGTACTAGCCTGGAAAGAGTAAAAGACGGGCAAGGTCACGCTACATGGCAATGAAATTTAGCAATGGGTAAAAAGTATAAATTATAGTGAAAACCAGCTATTTACCTGAGGAGCTTATTAAAAAATAACATGAAAAATTTACTTGGGTATAAGCGGACTTTGTTCCTGCAGGGACTGATGCAGCTGGTGTGTGTACCATGCAGTGGGTATGAGGATGAAGCTCTGGTGGTGGTGCAGGCCAGGGTGAGAGATGTGCAAGCAGAGGTCAGATCCAAGGGAACAGAAGCCTGGGAAGCACAGCACTTAGGGTGCAGGCTGAGGAGCTCACAGAAGAATCAGAGAGAGGGTATAACAAAGGACATCAGGGAAGCCAAGGAAACAGCGCTTCTGAAGAAAGCGATGAACGGTGTCAACATTTTGGTGGAAAGGTTTAATCAGATAAGGAAGGCAGATTATGGTGGGTTGTTACACTTCCAAGAAAGGGGAGGAAAGAAGGAACCAAGAGACAGACCTAGTCAAGGATGGGAGAGAGACTTGGGCCTGTGTGCTGGCTGAGGGCGACAGCCACGACAGGAAACAGGGAGGGGAAAAGGGGACAAGTGATACGGTCTTGACGGCTGGGCTGCGAAGGGGACAAAAACATAAGAGGACAGAGGTCTCATTCTAGGAGCCTGGAGCAAAGGAGGCAAACCATTTTATTGTAATCACTTCCCATTTTCTTAAATATTTGTGACTTTAGTACTAATGAAAACTTGTTAGCAAATAACTTCAGGAAATATGTGTGCCTGAGTGTTGAGAGCCAAAGTACAACCAACACAACATTCAAATACAACTGAGACTTCACTCTTGATCACCACGAAATGGAATCTGGCTTCAGGCCATGCAGCTGGGACCGGCACTGTACCTCTGAGCACAGAGATGAGATTAAATGTGCTCAGAATCATTGTTTCAGGAACCTTATTAAAACTGTCCACTTATTTTAAGAAAGCTGTTTTTCCCTCATTCATAAAGTACTACATATTTTACTTTAGGAAAATTAGGAAATTAATGGATGTATCTTTAATCTTCTTGATGAAAGCTGGGATTTTATTTCTCCATGGATTGAAAAGTCTGTGGAATCTTTGGATGCTACACAGAAAACTGTTATCCTACACATATTAAGGATATTTAAACAAAGAACTTAACACTTTTTCCTATCGGGGAGGCTGCTATATTAGTTAAATAGGCTAGCATTCTCATCACTGGAGCTCCATTTAATTTAAATAAAAGAGTATCTTCTTGGATGAACTTAACCATTAAAAAACATAGATTAGTTAAGCTTAATATTTCAAAGAAACACATTAATACAATCAAAATTAGTAACTAAAATGTGGCCCTTTGAAATGGCTGGAAATTAGCAAAATCATTTACATGTTAACCACCTGTAGCTGATCCATTGTTAAAAAAATTTTTTACTCTAAAATCTATTTCATGGTGTTGATATAGAAAAAGCGGGGCACTTGGTTGGCTCAGTTGGTAGAGCCTGTGACTCTCGATCTCAGGGTTAGGAGTTCAAGGCCCATATTGGGTGTGGAGCCTACTTAAAAAACAATAACAAACAAAAAAACCCAAAAACCAAAACCAAAAAAAAACAAAACAGGGGCGCCTGGGTGGCTCAGTTGTTAAAGCGTCTGCCTTCGGCTCAGGTCATGATCTCAGGGTCCTGGGATCGAGCCCCACATGGGGGGCTCCCTGCTCAGCGGGAAGTCTGCTTCTCCCTCTCTCACTCCCCCTGCTTGTGTTCCCTCTCTCGCTGTTTCTATCAAATAAATAAAATCTTAATAAAAAATAAAATAAAAAAAATAAATCAGTGACTCAGGCCTGCATGCTAATGCAGCATTAAAAAATAAATAAAAATAAAACAAAAAAACCCCCCAACCCTCCCCCAAAACAAACCACCATCAGAAAAAGCTTTTCAGAGATTCTCTCTACAATGGAGTTAGAGCAAGTCATTAGTAACCTAGATAAGCAAAACAGTAGTATGTAGTCTTACCAAAAAATGACAAGGTGAAAAGTGATTCCAAGTCACTCTCTCAATCTGCCCGCTGAATCGCCACATTCGATGGCTTTCATCTGGACTTCGGCAGTCATACAAAGCCACTGACCTGGACACAGATAGGCCAAGTTAGGGTTTTAAGAGTTCAATTCTTCTATATGTTTTACGTTTATTTATAATGAAATGGTAACAAAACAACACTGTGAATTCAAGATCCAATTATTTAAAGCCTATTTTATGGTTCTAAAAGTAGAAAAGAGGAGTTGACTTTCATTAACTGGTGGACTCTGGTTCTGTCACTTGAAGGCACTGGTGGCTCTGGATATCACAGCAGCCTTGACCGTCTCTAGGCTGAGTCCTCAACTTACAAGATGAATCCTCTCTATTTCCAAAAATCCAGGACAACTTTGAATTTTCCTGTTCCCAGCAGTGCTCAGAGCCAGATAATTCATGTCTTAGCCACATTTACTCTCCACAGGCAGGTTACTGTGTTGGGGGAGCCAACAGAAGATGTTTATGATTCTGAATGAATTCCAACTAAAAAATATAAACCTATCACTCTTCAAAAGAGTAAGGAATGAAAATAAAGACTGCAAGTTGGTTTCTGCTTCCACTACCTCTCTCTCCCACCTTCAGACCCAATCTGTAAAAAGATGCACATGCATGCCTGGAAACCCCCTGTGATGGACTGTAATGGGTCTAATTCCTCACCTCTCCCTATATCCACACCCCCTGTCAGGAACTGTAGGAATTCTTTCATAAAGGCAGTCTGTTTCCCACTCCATGTTGTCTGTTTCGGCCCAGAACGTAAGACAGACTGTACTAGTTCTGAGCCTAGGTCTCAAGAGGCTTTGGTATCTCTGCGTAAGCTTCTGACCTCTCCATGAGAACATGTGTGGGCTAGTCCACTGGTCCCATGAGGATGTGAAACGAGGAGAGCCACATCTCCAAAGCCCCACCAAAACAAGCCAAGATCAGACCTACCAGCTGAATCTAGCTTAGATTAGCTTAATCTTGAAGTGGCCTAAGAAATGTTTATTGTTTTAAGTCACTGGATTTGGGGGCAGCCTGTTCCACAGCAATGGCTTACTCCTCTGGCCTCTAAAAGGCAAAGTAGTTGCTAGTTAGGAACTACATTATTACGACAGAACCACATTCCCTTGCAGACTGAAAGGGACAAGTATTGCCAGAAGTTTAAGCACTCAGTGTTATATTCTATCTGCGCATCAGGTGATACTTTCTGAATTAGGAGACAAAGGCAGCAGCAGCGATTCCTGCAGCGTTTTCTTACTTATCAGAGGAGCCAGAAACCAGAGTCTGTGCTTCAAATGGATGAAACTGCAGAGTCTGGACCTAACAGGAGAAAACATAAGTGAGCCGATCTGTGTTGGTCTGGTTTTGGTAAAACTGCTCAGTACTTAAGAGAACCAATTTGGCAGTTTTTATAAACCTTTCCCTCTGACATTTAGTACTATTTAAAGAAACAAATGTATTACACAATCAAAAGGACAAAGCATTTTCAAATGGGGCGCCTGGGTGGCTCAGTCGTTAAGCGTCTGCCTTCGGCTCAGGTCATGATCCCAGGGTCCTGGGATCGAGCCCCGCTTAGGGCTCCCTGCTCGGCGGGGAGTCTGCTTCTCCATGGGCCTCTCTCTCTCTCAAACTCTGTCTCTTGTGAATAAATAAAATCTTAAAAAAAACAACCAAAAAAAAATCTTCAATGCAGCATTTCTCAAGTCATGGTTGGCAGAATACCTATGTCCCTCAAATGTTAAATATTCTGAGAACAAAAAAGGGAGCAGTCAAACTTATGGGGCAACTCTACATACTCTGAAGTCCCACAACGTACACCAGCACATCTGATCCCTGAGTTCTGCAGTAACAGATCTGTTAAATTCTTTAACCTCATCTGGTGACCGACACCCCTGTCTCTTTATGGGTCTCTGTAAACGTGCAACAAAATACTAATGTTTCCAGTCACTTCATCTGTCTCCACATTTGCATCTCTAAAATGGGTAATTCTAACTATCATACAGGGTTCTGTGAGGATCCAATAAGACAGCATGTCAAAACACTTTGTAATTCATAAAAAGCCATATATAAATGTTTGGGATTATTGTAGCCAACATTTGTCCCATATTTTTTAGAATCCCTTTTATCTACCACTCAATCACCATACCTTGTCTGTGTGTACAGCAAGGCTAGCTGCTGGTTTCCCTAAGGACATATCCCACAGAATTACAGTGTTGTCAGCTGATGCACTTGCCAGCACGTTTCTGAGAAAGGGAGGAGACAAATTAGGTAATTGTTTTTAAAGTCAAGAGCACTAAATGTAAAAATTCCATTTTCTATAACATCAAAAGGAATACTTAAAAATAAATTTAACAAAAGCATTCAAGATTTATATATTGAAAACTACAAAAGAAAGAAAGATTATCTGAATGAATGGAAAGAGATCTCATGTTCATGGATTGGAAGATTTTTTTTTTTAAAGATTTATTTAATTATTTAAGTAATCTCTACACCCAATGGGGGGCTCAAACTCATGACCCTGAGATTAAGAGTTGCATGCTCCACCAACTGAGCCATCCAGGTGCCCCGATTTAATGTTAAGACAGAAATACTGCCATCTACAGACTGATCTATAGATTCAACCAATCCCTTTCAAAACCCCTGCAGACTTTTTTTTGCAGAGAATGGACAAGCTGGTTTTAAAATTCATATGGGGGGTTCCTGGATTGCTCAGTCGGTTGGGTATCCGACTTTTGGTTCTGGCTCAGGCTGTGATCTCACGGGTCATGGGATCGAGCCCCTCATCAGAATCTGGGATTCATTTTCCTTCTCCCTCTGCCCCACCTACTCATGCGCACTCTAAAATAAATAAATAAATCTTTTAAGAAAATTCGTATGAAAGGGACTCAAATCGGCCAAAATAATCTTGGAAGACAGAAAAGTTGAAAAGTTCACAGTTTGGATTTCAAAATGGACTGAAAAGCCGCAATAATCCTAACAATGTAGTACTGGCTTAAGGACAGACATACCGGTTAACAGAACAGAATGAAGAATAAATCCTTTGTCATTTGTTTCTGACAACGATGTTAAGATTATTCACGGTTCAAGAACAGTATTTTCAACAAATGGTTCAGGGACAACTGGATACCCTCATGCAAAAGAATGAAGTTAGATCTCTAACTCATACTACCTCAAAATAGATCACGGATGGACCTACTAATATAAGAGCTAAAACTATTAAACTCTCAGAAGAAAACAGGTATAAATCTTTGTGACCCTGGGTTAGGCAATGGTGTCTAAGGTATGACACGAAAAGCCTAAGAAACAAAAGACATAAATGAACCAGACATCAACAGCATGAAAAACTTTTGTATTGCAAATTAGATCATCAAGAAAGTGAAAAGACAATCCACAGAACGGGAGAAAATTATCTGTAAGTCATATGTCTGATAAAGGACTTGATTCTAGAATAAAGAACTCTCAACTAAATAATAAAAAGACAACCCAATCAGAAGATGGGCAAAGAAATATGAATGGACATTTCTCTAAAGAAGATCTATAAATAGCCAATGAGCATGTGAAAAGTTGTTCATTAGGGAAATGAAAATGTGGGATACCACTTCACACTCATGGAACAGCTATAATGAAAAACACAAACAATAATAAGTGCTAGCAAAACAGAAAAATTAGCTACCTTGCTTGTGGGAATGGAAATGGTACAGACTACTACCATATGGCCTAGCAATTACACTCTTAGGTATATATCCTAGAAAATGAAAACAGGTCTGTGTAAAAATCTGCTCATGAATGTTTACAGTAGCATTATTCATAATAGGCAAAAAACCCCCCACAAACCAAACATCTATTAACTGGTGAATAGATACACAAAATATAGTATATCCATTCAAGCAATAAAAAGGAATGATGTACTAATAAATACTACAATAGGATGGACTTTGGAAACATACAAAAGTGACAGAACCCAGACACAGAAGGCCACATATTTTATGATTCCATTTCTAGAAATGTCCACATAGTCAAATCCATAGAGACAGAAAAAAGATTAGTGGTTGTCAGGCACTGGAAGGACAGGCGAATAAGAAATGCCTGCTTATAGTATGGATTGCTTTTTGGTTTGATGAAAATGTTACAGAATTAGACAGTGGAGATAGTTGTACAATTTTGGGAATACACCCCAAGTCACTTTAAAGACTGAATTTTATGACGTGATTTTATATATCAACTTTTTTTAAATAAAAAAAGGTCATTAAATGCTATTAATAGGGAAAAACAATATGCCTACCTCTTAGGTATCAAGTGCTAATAATGTCATTCTACAAGAGAACACAGGCCTTAGAGCCCAGAAAACCTGAAATGGATTCCTGGTGCTACTATTTATTAGTTGTAAGTCTTAAAAGTCAGTCTCACTTCCTTGCCTGCCAATGAGAATGCTACAACCAACTTCAAAGGGTTACAATTCAAGTTCATGGCTGAGTGACCAGAATATTGTAGGCCCCTGATAAATGTTATTTGCCTGCCTTTTCTTGTTGTAACTGAAAGCTCATTCTTCAATATCCGGTTTGAAATGGCTCGATACAGAATTAAGTCATTACTAGGAGTAATATTTGCCCAGAAAACCAATATCCTATTAAAATGTCGATGGGTTCATCTTTGGATATTATTTCCTTAAGAAATACTTCCATTATACAAACTGCTTTCAGTTTTATAACTTACATTTCAGTGACACAGGGTCTCTTAAGGGGATCATGGATATTCTTTTTTTCTAATCAATGAATTTCAAACTTCTATGATTAAGTCCCATATACAAGTCATTAATGTTTTAAGTCCTTGGCATGTCACAGATTTAAATGTTACTTAAATTCCCAATATTTTATTTATATTCAATGCCTGCCAACAGCAAAAAGTTAAAATTTCATGGTACATTTTTCACCCTAGTCCTTCCCCGAACATCTGAGATTCCTTTCATATTAAAATTCTTACTGTATGAGGCTTAAAATTAAATTACCCCCTCCCCCCAACTCCTGAATGCTATACTCCCAAGAAGAGCACTACAAAAGGAGTATGAATGAGCAAAGAACATGCATTTTGTTACTGGGAGCATTTTACTAGAAACCAAGGTCCCAAGGTCCCCAACTAGTAACAACGTCAACATGTTATTCTTCACCATGATCCCAAACTCTCTGTACCAGGGTATGTATGCAAAGTATTTAAAAGCATTCTGTACCTTTTCAGTAAAGAAAGGGGAAAAGAGAAACAAGGTCTGTAGTAAGATGGAGAAAGCAGAAGAGTTAAGGAACGAAGACACATGTGGCCCTGCAGTCAAGGAGACACGAGGGCAGACGGGGCGGGACAGGGGTACTAGTGCCTCCACAGAGCTAGGGACTGTGGCTGGGGAAAGGCACTGCTGAATCTGCTGGAATTGATGAGGGGCTGTTCCATCAGAACAAACTCAAGTTACTCAAACTGACAGCTGCTATGTGGTAAGAATTTAGCATATGTCATTTACTCTCACAGTTCAGATTTGTAAACGACTGGGCTCCTAAAAGTAGGGCACACTCATATTCGATCTCTTATTCGTCTGCCCATTAGTTAGGAACGGGCCCAATGCAGACAAAACCAGGAGAAGCTTTAAAAAACAACACAACACAACAGATTCTTGGGCCCTTGCTCCAGATGTGACTCAATCTCGAAGGGATTAGAGCCCAGGAACTTGCACTTTATTTTTTGTTTTTTTAAAAATATTTTTTAAGTGATCTCTACACCCAATGTGGGGCTTGAACTCACAACCCCGAGATCAAGAGTCGCATACTCTACGAATGAGCCAGCCAGATGCCCCTTACCAAATGGTTCTAACGCTGAAGAGGTTTGAACACAAACAAGAAGACAGGATATCCCTAGGTAAGCCGGATGGCTGGGATCCTCCTTAGAGTGCTCACAATTACAAAGTATCCTGTGTAACACAGATGTTAAGAAAATGTGCCTTGGGCAATCCAGTTCATTCTTACAGCTCAAGTAAGCTCAACCTAATGCTTACCTTCCTTGCCTTCGAAGCCCCTTAAACCAACTACGCTATTAGGAAAATGGCCTTCTGGGGTAATTGTTGTTTAAGGATCAGCATAAAGAATATGTGGATGACACATGCAAAAGAATGAAGTGGAACTCTTACCTTATACTGTTTACAAAAGTTAACTCAGAATGGATCAAACACCTAAACGTAAGAGCTAAGACTGTAAAAACTCTTAAGGGAAGAACCTCAAGACAAGGATTTGGCAATGATTTCTTGGATATAACATTAAACGCACAGGCAACAAAAGTGAAAATTAATTGACATCAAAATTAAAAACTTATGTGCATCCAAGGACACTATCAAGAGAGTTAAAGGTGATCCACCAGATGGGGAAAAATATTTGCAAATCGCCTATCTGATGAGAGATTATATCCGGAATACATAAAGAACTACAACTCAATGAAAAACCAAAAAACTCAATTCAAAAATGGACAAAGGACTTACACATTTCTCCCAAGATATATACAAATGGGCCAATTGGCACCTGAAACGTGCTCCTCAAAATGGTAAACACAGAACTGCTATATGAGCCAGCAATTTCACTTTTGAGGATATACTCAAAAGAACTGAAAGCCGGGACTTAAGACCGATATTTGTACATCAATGTGCATAACAGCAGCATCGCTTACAATAGTCAGGAGGTGGAAACACAGATGTTCATCAACAGATGGATAAACAAAATGTGGGCTTTCCAAACAATCCTGTCACATGCTACAATACATGGATGACCTTGTGCTAAGTGAATAAGCCAGTCACAAAAGGGCAGATACTATATAATCCAACCTATATGAACTAACTGGAAGGGTCGATTCACAGAGACACAAAGCAGGTTACTGGGCCTGGGGGTGCCGAGAATGGCAAGTTATTGTTTAATGGATACAGAGTTTCACTTCTGGAAGATGACAAGTTCTGCAGTTGGATGGTGGTGATGGTTGCACAACAATGTCCCCTGAACTATACACTTAAAAATAGTTGAAGTGGTCAATATTATGTATATTTTACCACAATTAAATCAATTTAAAAAATTTGGATGAAATTTTGTGCAAACTAAACGAGTGAGAGAAATGTCTTCCATGAAAAGAACGACAATTCGGCACCACCGGCTCTGGAGCAGTGCTTCCCCAGTGGTGTCGGGGGGGCACTGGTCACCAGATACATAACGAGCCCGAGCCCCTACAGAGCTCAGAGCTGGCAGGTGACGTGGGGGCTGCAAGGATACAGACAGCAAAGCTCCTGCCTTCAAGCGGCATATACTGGACAGGGGAAGAAGGCGCAGACACAGAGACCCCCGACACACAACGCAGAGACAGGTGCAGGCATGAGGTGAGATGACAGTGGGTATATAGTCTCTAACAACCCTCCAAATGTTTTTTCTTTTTACCTGATCAGCTTATTCCAAGAAAGGTCCAGGACAGCATCGATATGCCCCTCTGCTGAGGAACTCTGTAATAATTGTTTCATTACTGTTTGTATTAAAGTGACCCCTGTAACTGATGTTCATTTGAAAGATTCTTTAAATCTTAAGATTACTGTTTGATCTTAAGCAAACTTGCTTGAAGACCTACAGAAAGAAATACCTTGTCTTCCTGTTACTTTAGGGATCTATGATAAATACTCTTTACAGAAGACAAACTACAGTAGTTCTTTATCTAGGTGGGACGGTTCTATAAATATCAACCCCCACCCCAAAGTTAAGTCTTAAAAGCTACAGGAATTCATACATGGATATTTAGAATTCAACATACTAAAGACTTAAACAGAATTTTTTCAAAAATTCAAAAAAGCCTATTAGTGTGAATAGTTACTATTATCAAAAAGGATCATAACCTGGGAGTAAATGGTTTGTGTAAGGACGAAAAATGTGCCAATGGAAGTTTTGTGCAATCAGAGATCAGTTTTTCCTTGGATGAGCCTTTTGAAACTAGAAACTACAATAACTTCATAACTATCTGTCCTGTTCCACCAAAGTGTCTGACAAAGTATATGTTCTCCTTCCTCCACCCCACCAGTAAACTTCTCTGTCATTAGAGTTTAAGTAATCATTAACTTGTTTACCTTCTTTCCTTTCTTTTTCTTCTTTTTTGATAGCTTACTTCCAAGTGTGAAGACTGGTTCTAAAGAGTCCACAATATCAAGGTCCCACACTTCAATAACAGGGGTCATATTTCCCACAGCAATATAATTTCCTACAGGAGGAAATGAGGTATTTGATTTAAAAAATTTCTAATGAGAAATATTGCACTGTAGATTGAGTAATGTCTTAGAGCACTTTCTCTCAAACTTTCACATGCATGCGTTATCACCTGAATATTGTTTAAATGCATATTCTGTTTCAGGGGTCTTGAGTGCACCCCTACATCTGCATTTCTGACCAGTTCCCAGGTGATGCCAATACTGTGCTGCTGGTCCTTGGACCATAATTTGAATAACAAGGGCTCAGTCTTTTGGCCCCAGGGGCCCTACTTAGGTTCTGAGAACAAAAACCATCTTCCACCTTCACTAGTGTCGTGAAAATGAGGACTGAATCAGAACATGCATGTGAATAAGCTTGGCAAACGAGACGTAAAGTATGAGTATTACCAGGTTTTACCTTTATTAAGAAGTAGGATGGGGCACCTAGCAGTGTGCAGCTGTGGCTAGAACAACTAACACAGGAACGTACTTCTCCATTTTGGTTTTACTTGATGTTTTCTAAGAAAGGTCATGCTACTTTATACTGGGTTTCTATGAGGACTTCACACAGTTTGGCAACCCCTAATGCTGTCAGCCTGTTCTGCCTACAGCAGGGCAGCTACCTCTTTATCTGAAGCCTGGAGACACACAGACTCAAAACAATTACGTGATTGTGTTTTAAGAACTATGTAACTTCATAAAATAACAATTTCATTTAAAAAATCAACAATTCTGAAAACATTCATACAGAATACATAACTTATGTGGCTAGGAATAACATACAGGACTAGGAACCACTGCGCCATCTAAGCTTTTCTAATTACCTGTAGAATCATCTGGGCTAGGATCAAAATTCAGCCATTCCACGCTTAGAGGGTATGCAGACAGCAGTATATCATGATGCACATAAAAGGAATCTTCTTCCTGATTATAAACTGAAAATATTGGGAAGAGACTTTATTGAGTCGGAATAAGAAATCACATCCCACTGAAAAGGACAGACTCTCCCTGTTAAACCCATAGGAGCCGATGTGCTTGAGACACACTTGATGGCATCAAAAGGAGCCTCCAAAGTTGTTAGTGCTCGGCCAAAATTCCGCAGGTCTCATACATTCCTATCACCTGGTGCACTCCAAGGGAACAGGAACAGTGACAGAGAACTGACATTTGCCTGAACACTCCATCTGCATGTGCACTGGTTAGAACGGTCCCATCTTCTGGTCCACCCACTACAAAAACAAATGCTCGTAAGGGCTCCATAAGGAGTACTTTATTATCTTTTAAAGGCGTATCTGGCTATAAAAATAAACAAACAAAAAATAGCACTGGAGAGAAATAACTCACATTTAGAAATCTAAATGCTTGTCAAAAATTACTTCTTTAATGTTTAAAGACCAATGATGTAAATTAAGCTCTTGAGAACACTCTTTTGGAATATGACAACTAAAACAATTGGCTCTTTATCATTCTGAGTTACAATGTTAAGGAGCAAAAATACTGTTAATATCAATGACTAAGAAGTCTTTCAAAAATTATGTAAGGAAACACTGATAAAACAGAGCCCAAACAGAAATCCCCCCACCCATGTGCTTTTTATTACAAAGAAGCAATGTTAAGAGAGGCTAAGGATTTTTAAAGAAATTCCTCAGACCACTTTCTAGATAGGTCTTCTGAGGCAAGGGAAACAAAAGCAAAAATAAACTACTGGAGCTACATCAAAATTAAAAACTTCTGCACAGAGAAGGAGACAATCAGCAAAACTAAAAGGCAACCTACAGAATGGGAGAAGGTATTTGCAAATGACTAATGAAGGGTTAGTATCCAAAATACATAAAGAACTTACAAAACTCAACACCATAAAACAAATAATCCAATTAAAAAATGTGCAGTAGACATGAATAGACATTTTTCCAAAGAAGACATACAGATGGCCAACAGACACATGTAACGATGCTCAACACCACTGATCAGGGAACTATAAATCAAAAGTACAATGAGCGATCACCTCACACGTGTCAGAATGGCTAAAATCAACAACACAAGAAATAGCAGATGTTGGCAAGGATGTGGAGAAAGGGGAACCCTCTTACAGTCCTGGTGGGAATGCAAATCGGTGCAGCCACTCTGGAAAACAGTATGGGGGTTCCTCAGAAAGTTAAAAATAGAGCTTCCCTACGATCCAGCAATTGCATTACTAGGTATTTACCCAAAGAATACAAAAATAGTATACTATTAATACATGGACCCCGATGTTTATAGTGCCATTACAACAACCAAATTATGGAAAGAGCCCAAATGTCCATCGACTGATGAATGGAAAAAGACGGGTACATGCATACACGTGCGCGTGCATGCGCGTGCGCGCACACACACACAATGGAATATTACTCAGCCATCAAAAAGAATGAAATCTTGCCATTTGCAATGACATGGATGGAGCCAGAGAGTATCATGCTAAATGAAATAAGTCAGTCAGAGAAAGACAAATACCGTATCATTTCACTTGTATGTGGAATTTAAGAAACAAAACAAGCAACAGGACAAAAAAAGAGAGAGGGGGTAAACCAAGAAACAGACTCTTAACTATAGAGAACTGATGGTTACCAGAATGGAGGCGGGGCAGGGGGATGGGTGAAATAGGTGATGGGGGTTCAGGAGTGCATTTGCTGTGATGAGCACCAGGTGATGTATGAAGTGTACAGCCAAAACTAATATTACACTGTATGTTCACTAACTGGAATTTAAATAAAAACTTAAAAAAATTCCTCAGACCTCTACATCTGGGTTAGATCCTGGATCAGCAGATTCCATGTCATGTTCTATCATATCACTTCACAATGAATGTTCAAAGTAGTAAGTTTGTGGTCCTGCAAGAACCTAACTATGATCAATGTACTCAGCTTACATTTTAGATAAAAATGATGAAGTTTTAAAATAAATCTTTTATCCATGTCAAATCAACATTCAGATCAGCTTTTGAGTGCAATTTTGAATTTATTCTTGCCTAGAGATAAGCTAAATAAATAATTTGGAGATCCACACCAGATCCAAATATCTCTTTAATGACCTAGCTTGAAGTAGGAATACCATTTTTACTTTAACTTAACCCCTCTCTGCTACTCACTAAATTCAAAGGAATGACTCCAGTAAGCTCTCATAGGAAAATGTATAAAAATTGATGGCAAACTGTGAACAGTTTCAATTTTCTGAAATTAGAATTGGTTTTTTAAAAATTTCACCACAAGGTTTTCATTTGAAATATGTAAAAAGTTCAAAGATCATTAGAAGAATAACTTCACACTGAGGTTTCTGCTATTTAAAGCCTTTTCATTTTATAAATAGATCCACAATGGGCCATGGGATTAAAATGGCCTAATCTACAGACTTCCTGAAGGCAGCCTTAAAGATTGTGAAGAGTTCCAGAAAGCCACGCTACAAAATGGAGTAAGTGACAAGGTAACCTAGAAGATGTAAAAAAAAAACATTAAACATAAAGATTTTAATTTTCGAGCTATGCAACCATGTTTGTTTTTTTTTTTAAGATTATTTATGTATTTATTTATTTGACAGAGAGCGAGAGGGGGAACACAAGCAGGGGGAGTGGGAGAGGGAGAAGCAGGCTTCCCACTGAGCAGGGAGCCCGATGCGGGGCTTGATCCCAGGACCCTGGATCATGACCTGAGCTGAAGGCAGACGCTTAACCAACTGAGCCAGCCATGTGCCCCTGCAACTGTGTTTCTATAATAAAAGGCCTTAGCCTAATATCTGTAAAGCTTCAAATTTTAAAGAGATGACTAGTAGATTGTTGAGGAAGGACAAACATGTCTGAGGATGTGCACAGGAGAAGGGACAAGAAAAACAAAAGAAAAAATCTAGAGGCAGAGTATTGTAGACATCTTGAAGGTCTATTTTTTTAGAAAACAGTTATTCAATTAATGATTAACCTAATAAATATCAACATTAAGTATATCCGATTTAAAAACCCAAATAAAAAAGAAAAATTCAGATCAGTGCCTACTCCAGATTCAAAGCATTCACCTCTGTTGTGTGCAAATATTCCTTTAACTGGGAAAGGAGACCAGAGGAATGGAAGCCCTTGCATTGAGTTTTTGTGAAGAAATAAAGGGGAAATATCTTAAATGACTCTGGAAAAAAGCAGACTAAAAACCTGTCTATTGAGTATAATCTTCACCACATAAAGAAAAAGTTCCCAGAAAAGAGACTAGAGTAAAAAACCAAGGCACAAGTTACCTCAGGGTAATAGGACTGTAACTGTTTCCTGTATTTTTATACGGCTTTACTTCTAGGTTTTCTCCAATGGGGAGAGAGGGGGAGTGAAAAACTGGCAAAAATGTTCAAATAAAAAACTTAACACTCCCCCCCCCCCCCCCCCATTAGCACCTTCCAGGAGACCCATTTCCATAAATAAAAGTCAGGTCCGAGCGACATACCAGACCATACATACCCAGGCACAATGACCAGCATATCTACAGACTGTGTATCATTAACTTAAATGAGATCCAGCAGGATCTGGTGCCTGAAAATTCACATAGTAACTATTATAGTGATTACTTTCATCTTAGAGAACCTTTCCCTAAGGGCTGTCCCCCACTTACCGTGCACCTCTAAATTGCACTGGTCTTGTTCAGCTCTGCCACAAACTATAAGATTGTCACTGGGCTTGATCAAGAAATCTTCACGTTCATATTGCTCCTAGTGGAGAGAATAAGTCATTAACTAGAAGCAGATATTTGGTAAGGTTTTCCAAACACTTAAGAAGCATAATTAGAAAAGCCACATAAATATTTACCGTATCTTTCAGAGTAACATAAGGATCTTGATCATTACTTCCATAGACTGTAAGACCCAAGAGAGATTCACCAAGAGTTTCAGTATCTGTAAGAATTCATAAATTGAAAAGTCATCTCGACAAAAGCATTTTCCTAAGGTATCCCATCTTAGCTCCAACTATCTATTTCATAACTAAATGGGTCATCCATAGTCGGGAAAAGAAATACTGAATAATAAACAGGAATTTAAAAACCATTTATAGGGGGGCGTGGGTGGCACAGTTAAATGTCTCTTGGTTTTGGCTCAGGTCATGATCTCAGGGTCTGTATCAGGCTCCGTGCTCAGCAGGGAGTCTGCTTAAGACTCTCTCCCTCTCCCTCTGCCCCTCCCCCCCAACACACGCACTCTCTCTCAAATAATTAAATCTTAAAAAAACAAAAAACCAAAAACACCATTTATATTTGACCTTGGAATGCATACCTGACAGTCTTGGTATTCACAATGTTCTAATAAAACTAAACTGTAAAGCTCTCTCTTAGAAAATATTAGCACTCTGCTCAGGTTCTCTACCTTGCTCCTTGTAGTCATTATTAAAAGTAGAGTTATGGGGCACCCGGATGGCTCAGTCAGTTAAGCGTCTGACTCTTGATTTCAGCTCAAGTTGTGATCTCAGGGTTGTGAGATGAAGCTCCACATTGGGCTCCGTGCTGGGCATGGAGCCTGCTTAAGATTCTCTCTCCCTCTCCTTCTGCCCCTCCCCCCCCAAAAAGTGTAGTTATTATTAAAAAGTCATTATTAAAAAGAGATAAAATTATCCTAAAGCACTGGAATCGACACAGAAAAAGGGTTGCCTGGTCAAATCAAATAAAAAAATGATGGGTTTCACAAAGTTAACTGGGTTTCTTTATTGCAAGAGTTCTCAGAACTGCTGATGTGCTAATTTGCTGTGAATCTGGAAGAGGTGCTATTATGCCTCTTTCACTAAACTTATCTCCAACTGGAATTCTCTTACGGCGTATCTGCAAGGGTGACCTAGAGTAGACCCCAACTAACATAAAACTCAGGAGAAGAAATATACTGTTAGGGAAAGCTACTTTAAGGAGGCAGGACTATTTGGTCTTAAACATCTGATAGGCAACAGAGATGGGAATTTCAACTGGGTGAGAAAGACGGTCAATAATCCACACAGTGTGGGGATTATTAAGAAGCAATTTTTTTTTTTTTTTTTTTTAAGATTTTATTTGAGAGAAAGAGAGCACGAGCAAGAGAGGCAGAGGGAAAGAGACAAGCAGACTCCCTGCTGAGCGGGGAGCCCGACACATGGCATGATCCCAGGACGCCGAGATCATGACCTGAGCTGAAGTCAGATGCTTAACGGACTGAGCCACCCAGGCGCCCCTGATTTACCATTTCTTATACATCATGTCACGCTCCCAAGTGTAGCAACCATTTGTGACCATACAGTGCTATCATAGCATCTTTGACTATATTCTCTATGCTGTAGCTTTCATTCCCAAGACTTACTCATTCCGTAACTGGAAGCCTTTATCTCCCACTCCCCTCTGCCCATTTTGCCCATCCCCCAACCTGAGTTACAGATCATACCGACTACTTGCAATAAATATACAATACTATGCTTTTTTAGATCTTAGTTTATAGTGGGTTAGCTTATTTTCTAAACTAGTTTAGGAAACATGCTATCTGCCCTAGCCTTGAGCCAGATTATTTAACTGGCGTAAAGGACAACAAAAGCTCAGAAACAGTAGAAGCATGATCTAATACACTGAGCTTGTGATTAAAAACGAGAAGTGAGTGAACTCTAACCTGGGTCGCCTTCCTCATCGTATTTATCTAAGTCGTACTCAGCCAGCTCATCATCATCCAGCGTCCTGTCATCCTCTGGGTCACCATCTTCCAGGGGCTCTCTTGGTCGTGCCTGGGTACGTGCGCTCTGCATGCCATGTTCCGAAGGATCGCCTGTCTCCTCTTCATCACTGCCACCTTCTTCTCTATGCCAAGGAACAAAAAGGGTAAGTCACCCAAATGGTACCATTTGATGATAAGATCACCTTGTCATCACTGTTTAAAATTTACATTTCATCTGGACTTTAGACATCAACGATCCTAAACTTACTGTAATTTTTCCTTGGCTTCAGCAATGAGACGTTTTACTTCTTCTTTACTAAGTTCTACCTATAAGAGAGCAAACATTTCATTACCATACAGTTAAGGAAATCATTATAAATCTCTGAATTAAAAAGTTTGCAAACTAATGTAAAATATAACTTCAAAAGACATCAAGAATCAAACTTCAATCCAGACTCCCTAAATTTACCGTAAATGGAATTTTCACAGGTCTTTATAATTAAATCCATTTCCCACCTGAAACTGTTAAAAAAAAAAAAAAAAGCTGCTCAGTCTACTTCCCAGACTTTTCAAAAAGGACTAACTTGTATAAATTGGCTTCTGTGATAGTCCATCTCGTTTTCTTTCAATTATTCTGATTTCTTCTCGGCTACTTCTCATTTTCCCTATGGGTATTCCTAAACAAACCACCCTTGCCTTAGTCCCCTACTCTTTTCCCGGTTCTCACTGCCAAATATTCACTATGAGTCACATGCTGTCACCTCCTTGCAAAGCTCATTCATTCTGAAGACTAAAACTATCACCTCTGAACTATCCCAAACTCATCCTTCTCTAGTCCCATACTCCAGTTCCATCTTTCTTCCCCCCCCTTTTTTGTTCCAGACTCCCTGCTGAGCCTGGAGCCTGACGCAGCAGAACTCAATCTCACGACCCTGAGGTCATGACTTGAGCCGAAATCAAGTCTTGACGCTCAACCAACTGAGCCTCCCAGGCTCCCCTCCCAGTTCCATCTTTCTAGCTGCCTTTAAGACTCTCCACTTGGGAGATCCTGTTCAAAAGGATCATTGGACTCATTCTCTTCACTTCAAAACTGGCATTCCTTCACCTAATCCATCTTCAGTACCTTTTAAAACATCCCATCACTGCTAAACTGTAAGCTCCTTGAAGACAGAAATCAACTTGTCGTTGTGTTTATGCACATAATTCAGGGCTCAGCCCATGGCAAGAATGGATGCTTGATGACAAACGATGAATCAGTCAAGCACTCAGTTTGCACTAAACTACCTCTAGTAATATGGAAATCCTCTTGAGGGATGACATTCATTGTTTCAGAAATTAAGAGCTTTTAAGTTTAATTAAAAGATATTTCTTTGGGGCGCCTGGGTGGCTCAGTCGTTGAGCGTCTGCCTTCGGCTCAGGTCATGATCTCAGGGTCCTGGGATCGAGCCCCGCATCGGGCTCCCCGCTCCACGGGAAGCCTGCTTCTTCCTCTCCCGCTCCCCCTGCTTGTGTTCCCTCTCTCGCTCTCTGTCAAATAGGTAAAATCTTAAAAAAAAAAAAAAAAAAGATTTTTCTTAAGATACTTATTTTTCTAATTACTCTCACTGATCTCAGTTTTTCTGGGATTTTGTAGAATAAACAATCTCTTCCTATTTTGATTCTGTAGAATAAACAAACTCTTAAAGCAGTGGTTACCAAACTTGTCTGCAATTAAAACCACGTGGGGGGAATCTTCTCACACTCCAGACCCATTAAATCACAACATGTGGGACGGGGTACAGGCACTGTAATTTTTTTTTTTTTTTTTTTAAAGTAAGCTGTATGCCCATTGCGGGTAGGGAGGGCATGTGGCACTCGAACTCAGAGGTCGAGATCAAGAGCCCAGGCTCCACCAACCAAGCCAGTGCGGTGCCCCAGGCATCAGTATTTTTTGAAGTTCCCCAAGTGGTTCCAGTGTGTAGACATGTTTGGAACTCACATGGCCTTTAAAATTTAAGGTTACATGCCCCTTTTTAATACTTCCTTCAATAATTTCTAATGAGATAATTTCCTGGCCCTATTCTCTCTCTATATATATATACATATGCAGTAAGTACCTACTGGAGCCAAACACCAGAGAAACTGGTGAATAAAACAAGCAGAGTCTGTGCGCTGGTGGAATTTTAAACCTTCAGGGGCTCTTCCAATCCCTCATTCCTGTGAACTTCACCTCCCAGCCACTTACATTCCTATCACTTTTCTCACCTCTGTCATCATTGGCCCAATTACATTCAATCCAACGCCCACCTCTTTCATTCATAGCATTTCCTCCCAGACATATATGCACATGTCAACTCCATAAAGGCAGGGAATTTTTGTTTTGTTTATGCCTATCCCTGGACCCTGAACAATGCCCCAAACACAGAAAGCACTTAACAAGTATCAGCTGAACAACTTAAATAATCTTCACCTCTACCATAGACTCATTCTTGAACTTCTGTAGGATATTCCTTCTTAATATGTCACGTTTACCTCTCATCCCCCACTGTCACAACATCTCACTTGGTTTACCCTAAGAAATTCCTAATTCAACTGCCAGCCTCACGACATCAGTCTCCATGCGAGTTTTTCTACACCACAGCTCTCGTCCTGCTCCGAACGCCGAGCCCACGAGTGCAAAGGGGTGTCACACACGTGCTCCCGCTCCCGCTATGCCTGAACACGCACCAGGGTGGGCGCGAAGCTTCACTGGGTCAATACGGCTCTGGGAGATTTCCCACTCTGCGCAAAACCCCGCCCCCTTCCCGCCCGCCAGGCCCACGTGCGCGTGAATTCGGGGGGGTGGGGCTGGACTCCCGGGACGGGACCGTGTGGGGCGCGACCCCCGACTCCCGCCCCGGAGCCGCAGCGCCCCTCACCACGTCAGGCCAAAGCCGGCCGCACCCCGCCCAGTCACACCAGCCAGGCCAGGGCCGCGTGTAGCGGGTCCGGGTTCTCCAGGCGGGCCTGGACGCGGACGCCGCCAAGAGGCCGCTCCCCCTACCTCCGAGCGACCAGGCCTCACCTTGTCTGGTGTTTCTTTGGCCACGCCGCAGCGGACCCAGGCCACGCACGTCACCTGCCGACTGCGGTTCATGGTCCTCTCAGCTCAAGGACGCCTCACGCTATAGACTCGGCCCCAGCAGCCCTGGGACCCCGCCGCCTTGCAGCCGCCAGGCTCGGTGACAAGCCGTGGGCCGCTGCCTGCACAGAGCGCACGCGCAGGCGCTGGTTTCTGCGCGTCCGCGCCCGCTTATGACGTCATTCTAGGGCGCCGAATGGGAAAGGGGTGGGTAAAGGGCTGGAAGCGGAAGTGGAAGCGGCAGGGCGAGGAGTCCACGTGGGGTGGGCCGCGCCGAGTGCGGTCACGTGAATGGGCTTTTCAAGACTGTCCCCTCTGTGACAGTCTCTGCAGACTTCACGGAGGCGATAAATAAAACTGGAACTGTAGGGGTCAGAGACCTTTATTTTGCCTGCAGTTCCATAGACTTTTCGCTGACAAATGGTAGAGATTTGTGGTTTTCTTCTTTTTAAAGCTTTCTCCAAAATAGACTTGTCATTTCAAGGAGCTACTTCCGCCGTTACATTTCACTACATTCTTGGGTGTTACTTCCTCACCTTAAAACATTTAGGACTTACATATTTAAGTACACAGTGGTTGTAGCAGAAGCAAACACAAAGTGCTTGTTATGTGCCCGGCACATTTTAAATGGCTGATGTTAACTTGGTTCCTTCGTAACCCTGTGTGGGAAGTCTTCCCATTTTACACATGGGGGAGAATTAATGATCTTTCCTAAGGTCACCCAGCTGCGAAGTGGTGTAGCTAGGATATGAACCCAGCAGTGTGACCCTAGAAACTGGCTGTAATCTGTGCCATGCCTCTCAGCTAAGGTCAGAGTCACCTGTTAGAGAAAATGTCAGTGGCTGGGGGGACTGTAGAATGGCAAGTCTTAACATCCCCGAAGAATCTGGGTTTTGACTTCTTTCTTAGCTGTGTGACTCCATCTAGGTCATTTGCCCTGAGCTTCCATCTGTCTCTTCTACCTCAGACAGGCAAGCAAAACCAGGAGGGCGGCTGCAATGGGAAAGAGTAGTGGCAAAGACAAATGGGAAATACATGGTCTTCCCCTGTTGCATTGCCAGACGGGGCTGTCCACCTGTGGGGTCAATTTGTGGGCATTTTTGCAACATACTTGTCTTCACATAAGATATTTTGCGTGGTTCTCAAAACAACACTGATGAAACATGATCAAGAATTACCTCCATTTTCAAGATGAGGAAGTTAGAGTTCCCAGTGGTGAAAAGCCTTACTACTCTGAGATCACACACAGTCGGGAACTGATAGAATGCCAACCAGACACCACCATCTCGATCTATTCAGCCTCATGCCCTTGGCACTCTACCAGCCTGAGGAAGGATCCTCTCAGGAGTGAATTTCTCATTCTGAGGGTAGGCGGATTATGTGTTCATTAAGGCCTCTTCCAGTGCTATTTCTGTGGTTTCTTTGCTTTTGGCCCATTTCGAAAGGTGGTATGGCAGAGTATATTTTTCCAGAAATGGATGCAACAAGATCTCCCTTCACACAGGTTTTTCTACAACGTAATTTAAATACTCCCCCATTAAAACATGAAGTTTAATTCTACCCACCCCCTAACCTTGAATCTGGGTAGATTTATGACTACTCTGGTTATGACAGAAGTTACACTTCCAAGGTTAGGCCATAAATGGGATACAGGTTTTGTCTTTTTTCCCCCTTTTTTACTGAAACACTCATGTGAGGTGCTCTGAGCTAACATATAAAGAGTTTGAGGGGCGCCTGGGTGGCTCAGTTGGTTAAACATCTGATTCTTGATCTCAGTTCAGGTGTTGATCTCAAGGTTGTGAGTTTAAGCCCTGTGTTGGGCTCTGCACTTGGTGTGGAGCCTACTTGAAAAAAATAAAAATAAAAAGTTTGACTACCCTGAGGCCACAATGTTGTGAGAAAGGCACACACGGAGAGGCCACATTTGGGTGCTCCAGTGGGCAGTCCTAGTTTTTGAGTCAGCCCAGGCATGTAAATGTAAGGGCCTTTAGATGATGCCAGGACCCAGACACTGATTCACCTCCCACCTTCGAGTCTCCCTAGCTGAGGCCCAGCCACCATGGAGCGGGAATGAACTGTTCCCACTGTGCCCTGCCCCAAATTCTCACCCCCAGAATCTGTGAGCTTCATTAAATGGTTGTTTCAAACCATTAAAGTTTTTTTTTATTCTCCCATAATATTTTTATTATGGCAAAATACATATAAAATTTACCATTTTAACCATTTTTATTAGTTTTTTTAAAATGTCACTTATTTGAGAGAGAGAGAGAGCATGAACAGAGCGGGGAGTGGAGGGGCAGAGGCAGATGGAGAAGCAGGCTCCCCAGTGAGCAGGGAGCCCAATGTGGGGCTCGATCCCAGGACCCTGAGATCATGACCGGAGCCAAAGGTAGACGTTTAACCGACTGGGCCACCCAGGTGCCCCTAAACCATTTTTAAATGTACAATTCAGTGGCATTAAGTACCAAACCACTAAGTTTTGAGGTCATTTTTAAAATGCAGCAATAATAACTGGAACAGGCAAGAAGCTGTGCTATATTTAGAATAGAGCACGTGAAATGATTTATTGGTAGAGGCTGACTTATTAACGCTTGGCTGGGCTCAGTCAGGTGTGCACGCAGGAATACAAGGAACGGGCTTGTGTTTGAATATTTGCCTCTGGATCTGTCCCCTCCGTGGGCTGCCCTCTTAGGAGACAGCTGCTCTTCCATGATGGTGCCTGGTGCAGAGTAGGCACTTGAGAACTGTTGTTTTTAAAGATTTTATTTATTTATTTGACACAGAGAGAGAGAGGGAGAGAGAGCACAAGCAGGGGGAGGGGCAGAGGGAGAGGGAGATGCAGACTCCCCACTGAGCAGGGAGCCCGATGCGGGGCTCGATCCCAGGACCCTGGGATCACGACCTAAGCTGAAGGCTAAGATGCGTAACTGACTGAGCCACCCAGGCGCCCAATAACTATTTATTAAATGAATGAGCAAATGAAATCCTAGAAGGTGGGATAGAACTCTGGTTATTTGGGGCCTGCTAAGCTTCCACTTGGATACTGGGCTTATTTATGTCACACATTTTGCCATTTCAACCCAAGTTGTGAATTCCCTTTAAAAATAAAAATCCAACTTCAGTTGGCATTATTAATTCTTTATAACAAGATTGAAAGCGATCGAGCTTAAGTAGCTCCATTTCTAAGCCTGATTCTTGGGAACATTGATGAGCATATTTGACTCAGAAAAGTCTCCTTGCCAGAGGCCAGAAAAAAGGTACTTGTTTGCACGTTGGCTATTCTTAGAGCTAAAGGTCCCAAAGGATAGGACCCAGGCCCAAGCCAGGCTCTCATTACACCCTCTAGCTCAGTGCTGTGTATAATTAGGCTCATAAACATTAGTTCTGATTGGCCATGAGCTTCAGGAAGGAAGTGAAGTCTGGGTACCCTCCTCTCTGATCATATGAGGCTTGGTTTCCCACCCCTCCTCCATCTAACCCCAAAAGTCACTGATGAGGAGTGGAAGGAATAACAAGATCATTACCAGTTACCAAGTGCTAGAGACTTGTACCACAAACACATTTCCCGGTGACAAAATCAGGTTTGCAGAAATGTCACTTTGTTTTTCTAAGAGTGAACTTCATTTCCATTTTCATGAGAACAGGAACCATGAGGGTTTTGTTACCATGGAAGAGCCAACACTTAGCATGATGTCTGGCATGATTAATGCCAATAAATGTTGAATAAATGAATGATATCAGAGTTCTAAACTGAAGTCCAGAGACATCAGGCAACTTGCCCAGTGTCACATAGTAAATGGCAAGACACTGTCTTGGCTCCTAGCACAGAAATCCTTTCCTCTATGCTGGTGTTTTCTGGTTCATTCATTCATTCATTCATCTGTCAAGACTCTTTTGGATGCAAGTGACAGGTACTCTAATTGCCTTAGACAAGAAATGGAAATTATCTGCTCAGATGATTCAAGAATCCAGTGACACGAATGGCTTCTGACTCAGCTGGATTCAGGGGCTTAAAGCATGTCACCGGGATCTGACCTCTCCCAACCTGTCTCCGGCTTCGACTGTGTTGGCTAATTCTGGGCCTTCAGCAGCTTCAAGCCTGCAGCATCCTTGCTTCTTGCAGCCTTAGCAGAAGAGCACTTGCCTTTATCCCCTCTTCAGTCTCCTTTGTCTCCCCAGTCCTGGAATGGTCACTTGCCCATTCCTGATCCAGAAGTGTGGTCGGGAGAAAGGGATGTTTTGCTTGGTTGGGCCTGAGCCATGTGTCCAGTTCTGGAGCCAGGGACGGAGTGAGCCCTTACGTGGAGCACATGGGTGAGAGCAGGGAAGGGAGCGTGCCCTAGAAGAAAATTGGGGTGCTGCTACCAGGCGTGACTGGCGAGAAAGGACTGTTGCTCACAACACTCAGCAAACGTTCTCCCTGCCACCTTTGTGCAGAGTTCCGCTGGGGAGACAGGGAGCTACGGAGGTGAATATGTCCCAGGAGCTTCTACTCTAATGGAGGGTCAGAGCCGTAAGTCAAGGGAAAACCAATAAGATTAATCAAATGCGGTTGTAGCCACCTGACTGGGGACTCACTCACCTGCTCACCGTCTAGCTGCGGGACAACAGCTGAGGTTTCTGACCCCTTAGCTTCCACCAGAAACCGCGTTTCTGCAAGCCCACCCTCCTTCATGCCACCACCATCTCCTCCTCTTAGAAAAACTTTCCCCCCAGGTTCAAGGAGTGGTTTTCTGGTCTCCCCTAGCTTCTGGGTAGGGGAATGTTTATCTTAAAGTGAAATTTCAATCCCATACATTTTCCAGCTCAAGTTCTGCCTTGCTTTTCAGCTCCAGGCTCTCTCTAGATGGCCAGCTGTGTGGCCCTGGGGTCACAGTCCTAGACATGAGGCTGGCACACTGTGAACAAGGGGGAGACAGGCAGAGAGGTGGGCAGGGAGCCAGATGGTGCCCAGTCTTGAAGTTCGGAAGGGATGCTGGCTGTGGTTAGAGGGTGTGCGGCAGACGAATGATGTGATCTAACTTGTTTCATGTCATTCGATCTTCTGTGTGAAATGCATGTCGGGGCAGAGTGACGGCTGGAGAACCACTGGCAGGATCCTTATGGCTAATCTAGGGGAGATGATGTGATGTGGATTGGAGGGTGGCTGGCTCTGGGAT